TTCAAATCAGTTATTATTATAGATTCGAACCAGTCAGTTTGAATCAAATCAAATCAGTTCAAATCAAATTATATATTTGAATCAGTTCGAATTGTATCAAATTATATATTCGAATCCGTTCGAATCCGTTCGAATCAAATTATATATTCGAATCTGTTCGAATCTGTTCGAATTAAATTATATATTCGAATCAAAAATTAAGTGATTCGATTCGATTCGAATTTGAATCAGTTCGAATCGGTTCGAATTTCATTGATTCGTTCGGAGCCTTAGTCACCATTCATTTGTTCATTCATAGGTTCCTCACTACCTGCCATATACCAATTGATACAGATGCTTGCTCTCTGTGACATTATTTCCGAAGCTGGTCTCAATAATAGTATGAACAAGATGCAAATTAGTGATGAGGCATTAATTCAATGGGCATATTTTTTCAAGGTTGAACAATTTGATGATAACCCTGGCTGCTATATTGAAACAGATGGGTTTCTGTTAGTATAAATATAAAAAACTAATACATTATGATAACAATAATGACAACAACAATAGCAATAAAAATTTAGATCTAACTGGGAAAAATATTGTTATTGTTGGTTTAGACCCAGGAAGGTATGACCTTTTTGTTTCAGCTGACACTAATGACAATATAGCCAAATGCCCAACCAAAGAATATTATTATTTAGCTAATTTTACTAGAAATAGGGAGAAATGACAAGGGTGGTTGGATAAGGTATATATAATAATGCATTATTATCATTTATATTATTTATATACATTATTAACTTTATCATGCTGTCAAAAGAACCAAGATGTCAAATCCTTAATTTGCCAAATTTCTACTGAATCATTTACAATTTACACCCTTTAATTATCAAATTTTCATGTATTCTTTTGTGCCAGCTGTTTTTGATCTAAAAATTGACAACTATTGTGGAAAACAGTCAAGTCAGCCCTTTCTTTCTGTTCTTGTTTGTCACGCCACGTGATATTTTAACCTCAATGTTGTTGTTATTGCATTTGATAGTGGAGGATTCTCATCATCATCAAAGTATCATGCATCTGGCTGGTCCCAAGAAAGCTTTATATCAAAAATGTCATTGCAGTTGCCTGACATTTTTAATAAATGAAGCTTATACAAGTCAGGTATGTTTATTTATTTATAATTGAAATCACAAATTTCTTGGAAGCAATCTTGTCATGTTTTTGTTGATTTGATTTTAATGGTAGAAATACATTTATTCTCTATTCTGTTGGTTTTTTAAGATATGTTCTTTATGTGAAGATATCTTCTAAAACCACAATGCATCTATGCTTTCAAAGTTTGTGAAAGTGTTATGTGTTTCAGGGTGGCCCGAACCCTCAAGCAAAACACTCACTCTAACCATCACTTCTAAATCATATTAGATCATCCCATCATTTATGTCAATGCTGCAAGGAACATAAGTAATATTTTTATTTATATGTACAACAACAATGGCAGATATTATTGTTATTTTCTTCACACCATCATCATCATTAATACTGTCACATCTAATTTGCTTTCAAATATTATTATTCTACTTGAGGGCTGAATGGGTGATAATGTTATTAACCTTAGTTTAGGGTAGAAGGCAATGATGGTTTTTAGCTAGTCTCTATGAAAGCTTGGTACATCCCAGTGGCACATATATAGGGTCAATACTGGTGTTTAATGTTGGTTTTGATAAATGTTACAAGAGTTTAAGGGCTGACTGAATTAATTACATTCTTTTGATTCATTCATCCTAACTCAAAAATTTTTTAAACTTTGTTAGGTAGTTCATTTATTCCTATGTATTAAAATAACATACAAATATATTTATATTTATATAATAACAATAATAATAACAATAATAATAATAATAAATAAAACTAATAATAAATAAAACTAATACAAGAGACATATATTAAAAAAGAAAGTAATTGTTTCTTGTATATGAAGTTTTATTTTCAGAAAATTAAAACAAAGTAACAATAAAATAAATAAAATAAGTGTAAATGTTTCTTTTTTTCAAGAATTAAATTAAATGAATGGAATGGTGAGGGATTTTTAAAAAAAAGAAATAATAAAATCAGAATCAAACATCATTCAAAGTCCGTTCCCAATTTTATAAGTTAAAATTTTTAATGATAAATCATGATAAAGAAATTTTTTGAATATAGTTTTTAGATAGCAATAATACTAGGATACAATTAATTAATAGAGTTTTATTGTTTCAAAATTTTTAAAGGTTTGTTGAGTTGTTTCCATCTGGAGGCCCATTAAGAACTTCATCCAAACTTTTATGCCTGGATAGTTCTGACAACACAGATTCATCTACTGGAATGATGGATTTACGACGGAAAATATTATAGCCATCCGTTCGATCATCAAAAAATTGCTAAAATAAACATTGTAATAATCATAATTAAATATTATCTCAACAACAATGATCACATAATGGATGAAAACAAACCAGTTCCCCATGTTCATCCTCCTCATTGATATTTTCTTCTTGTTCATCCTCAACTAATTCATCTTCACCATTAGACTGAATTTCATCTGCATAGTCTTCAGAATTAAGATAAGTAAGAATGTCTGTCTAAATATAAAAAATCAACAGATAAAATTACAAGGATAAAATTGATTTTAATAATTTACCAGATAAATCATTCTTTGAATTTGTCAAAGGACCACCAATATTATATGGTACTGGTAATCCTTGAGAATTGTGTGCAGCTACTCTTTCAAGCCTATGCCATACTTCATCCCTTTCTTTCATCTTTTTCTTTTCACTATAGAAATAAATATTAAAAATCTTATTTAAGAATGAATATTTTTATATATTTCAAAAAAACAATTTCCTATACCCACAATTGACGACTTTGTTTATAATGTGCTGTACATTCATCAAACAAAGCTGGATTAATTTCCATAAATAGTTTGAGTGCATTATATACCAATCCATGTATAGTCCTTCAAATAAGAAATGGTATTGTATATTATACACTTAATATTTAATTATATAAATTACATATAAAAATAATACTTAAATATTGCTTTACTTCACCTATTCCAATGAGCTTTTGAGTTTTGATATAATGATGGAAACATTACAGGTAAAATAATGTTTACATTATCACCTATCAAATTTACAATATATTCATTATTCCAGTAATATAATGCTCTTTCTGCTACCTTTAAACAAACAAATTAACAAAATAAGTTATTCTTATTTATTATTATGTATCAAAGTTTTATAAGCAATTTATACATATAGGAAATATGATTTATATTACCTGAAAATGAGGACTAGAGACGCATCTTGCAATTTGTTGAAATAATGGTACTTGAATTTTTATAAATTCTTGTGGTTCTATTACATCCAATATTTCTTCAATTTCATTCAAAAACATTACTTCTTTTGGACTATTTACCTTTGGCCAATATCTCAACAAACCACAAATTACCTAAATGTTTAATATTAAATAAATTATATTTTTTCTAACAAAAAAAAATCAAAAGTCAAAAAAAAATTTCAAAATAACAATCACTTCTTCTGTTAATGTAGGATCTTTCTCTAAAAATTGTACCACACAGTATGCAAGTTGTGGATGATACAATATTAAAGATTTTACTTTGTGTAAAGGGATTAAACCCTTTGTGAGAAAAGTTTTGTGTTCTTCTTTTAATGGCAACGCAAATCCATTTATGATACTGTATTAATTATTAATAATATAAATTTAATAATTAATCAAAAAATTTAAAATTTGATTAACCTTAATGTGCACTAATGCATTATTTTTAAAATTAATTATACCTTCCAAGTATTTCCAGCAACTCTGCAATACCATTGTGACGCTCTGTTTCATATATAAACTGGAAGAACACATTATTGATTGATCTTCGGATAAATGCTCGCAAATTTAAAAATTTTCCATAAATACGATGCAATGTGGTTTTCAAAAAATCTCGCTCTCTTGGATCTTCACTGTCAAATAATTCTAATAACTAACATATATATGCATTTATATAAAATTTAAATTTATGTATGTATTATTAACAATATTATATTTGGTAATGATTTTGTTACATACTTGTAATATAAATTGGGGATCTATATATTTCTTTGCAATATTTGTGTTGAAATCAGGTGACTCGATAAATCTAAGAAAAAATTCATAAACTATTTGAAGATGTGGCCATGCAAGTTCAAGTACAGGTTCATCTTCTTCAGGGTCAAAAGCGTCACCTATAGGATTTACTTGTGGAGGTATAGTTCTAAAAAGATTTACTGCAAACTAGCCAATCATGTGTATATTAATTACCCGGAATTACTAGGATGTTATATAAAAATTCAAAAATATATAAAAAAAAATAAAAAAATAACAAAAATCAAAGTACATCTTATTCTAGATATAAAACAAGAATAAAGATTCTATAACAAACCATGGAAACAACTTCAGGATATATTGGTTCAGTAATTACACCTCGGTTTGTTGTGATGTATTCTAGAAGTTCAGCCAACGTTGATCTTTTAATTTCTTTGCCCTTTAAATCTGCACTTGCATCATTAAAATCAAAAATTACTGAACATTGATTAAGTTTTCTAAGAAATAATTCTTGTCTTTTGTCAGGTGAAACCTCTAATAATTATTAAAAAGGTATATTAATAATTGTATTTTTTAATTAATATTTTTTTAAAAAAAATTTTTGATTAATTAATCAACCAACCATTAAAATTTGGTAGCTTTTCTAATTCGACCTTTTCAGTTACATGAAACCTTGATGATCTTTGACGACGTGGTGCTTTACTTATAGGAATAACATCTTTAGGTGTATTTTTTAAACGATTTAATGGATCTCTCTTTGGTGGTTCCTCTTTTGTATGAGACTTGTGATTATTTGCAGGTAAAATGGGAACAGAATTTTCCAAGCTATTTTGAGCTTTTTGCTGAATAAAAGAAAAAAAAATTTGTTAATGATTTTAAACTTTTAAATGAAATATAAATATTCATTTATTCGACAAAATAGCAAGTATAATGCTTCATTAACTATTCTTGCAGACCTGTTCTGTTGCATTTACAACAACGATTGCATGGGTATGAGTACCGTCAGTTGAGTTCGTAGAGATCTTTCCTGAAGACCTTGAACTACTAGCGGATTTCCCATTATTGTTACTATTAGTAGTAGTAGTAGATGGATTACTCGAGTCTCCTGTTTTTCGTAACTGGGTAACATCAGATGGAAAACAAATAGTAACGTTATTATTATATTAAAGTGTAAGGAAATGGATAATTTTTACAATTAAAAGAAAACTTTATTAAATCATTTTCAAGAACGATTCACTCAACTTTTTTTTTTAGTATTGAGGCCATTTTTGCTTAATTATAATTCAACAGTATGAAAAGTAATATAATAATAATTTTTTGTTTCACAAATATATATTAATATATATCTATATTAGGGAGTGCCCAAATGACATCATCTTGCTTTTATTATTATAACGGTCAGGGTTATTACCAAATGTGGGATTTCTAAGTACTGCAGTCAGGGAGATTTCTAAATTTGGAATTTCTAAATACCGTATATATATAATAATCAACGATCTAGACTCATTATGTAATTCTAAAATACTCTAGAAAAAAATCAAAACAACAATGATTGGCTAAATTTTATGCAGATCTTTTCATTGAAAAAAATTTTATGAAAGAAACTTGGCAAGGGCTTTATTAAATGAACATACAGTGGTGCGGCAAATTTTGAGATTTTAAAATATATCACGTGTACAGGTTTAGCCAGTAAAATTTAAGAAAATTAATCAATTTAGT